AAAGCTTATGAAGGATAGGCCTGTAGGAACAGAAAATGTTTAAGATGTCTTTTGAAGCTATCAAGTGTTCTTATTTGTCTTAGTTTCATGGGTAATCTGTTCCACATAAATGGACCAAAATATGAGAAAGATCTCTCTCCATATGAATTGTATGATTTTACAGGTGTTATCGTTTGATGAACTTAGGTTTCTCCCTGATATACTGATAAGTTCTTGTAGATAAAAAGGAGCAGTTTTATTTACACATTTGAAACACATGACGCAGATTTTAAATATTATTCGTTCTTTTACAGGGAGCCAATGCAGTTCTTTTAATAATGGAGTAACATGGTCTCGTTTTTTAGATCTTGCTATCAGTCTAGTGGCATTGTTTTGAATTACTTGTAAACGATTCAAATATTTATTGTTCAGACCTGCTAGGTGTGAGTTACAATAGTCTAATCTAGATAGAATATAAGAGATGTTACCAGTGTTTTTGTGGTCTCTTCGTTTAAGTACTTTCGAACTAGGCCTATCCTTCTCAGCTGAAAATAAAGGGATTTGGACAGAGATCCTACAAACGAGCCCATTGATAAGTGGTGGTCAATATATACACCGAGATTCCTGACAACTTCTTTACTAGATGTCATATGCCCATATAAATCAAAGTTGACACTTTCCAGATCTTTATTTAATCGTGGATACTCCTCATACATCTGTTGAGGGAAGTCTGGACTTTATTCAGCACGGTCTTTGTTGTATTCCAAGTTTCACAGCCATAGAGGAGTACAGACTTGACATTGGACCTTGGAATTAAAGAGTTCGAATCTTGGTGCGCAGTGTGATGTTGTTTACTTTCCAGGCTTTTAATAATTGGTTGAATGCTGACCTTGCCTTGGCAGTTTTTGCTGCATCTGCCTCAGTTCCACCTTTACCATCGATGACACTTCCAAGGTAGGTAAATAGTCCACTGCCTCATTAAGCTATATCAATAAGACAGAGGGCAAGTTCATGATCACGTTTCTTGAACAGACCTTCTTTTAAGGAGAGGGGGGGGGGAGACTGAGAAACCCCCAATGACACCACTTGAAATCCAACATACAAATCTAATCCTTCTAATAACCCATCCTTTTTCCTCTCCCTCGATTTGGATTCTTAGAAAAAGACAAAACCACTGTATTTCCTAAATGTTTCAATAGTTAAAATTCACCTTTCTAGCTTGTTTTCTTACCACACAATTACAACCTTGCCTTTGATCTCCATCCAACAGTCAACCTGACCATTCTCAAATCTTGTTTTTCTGTCTTGCTATTCCAAGAGAGCACCACATTTTGCATAGATAGTATAAAGTCAAAGAGTTTGTCTGTATCAACATCAAGAGCAAGCACAACTTATGCACCCTTTTCAAAGCATTTTACAGCAACAATTTTTGGTAAATATTTACTTTCACTCCTGCACACAATTGTGCTGGTTTAGAGGACTAAACTGTTGTGATTCTTGCGGCAGAACACAATAATGGCAGTCAATAAAACCATACCAAATCAATTGTTTTCAAGAAAAGCTAAAGAAATAGTTATTGCAAAATATCAAGTTACGGGGAAAGTCGCCCAGATTTTTTAAAACAAAAAAATGTTTTATAGGATTTCATACAGAAAAAAAAATTCACTGTGCTTGTCCGCCTAATGTGATAAAATCAGACTAAGTGACGCATCATGTAACGAAATCCTGTCTCAGACATCATGTATTTCTCCTGTCACCATGCTGATTTTTACACTTTATTCAGTACCGTGACAGTGAAGCAAGGTTGTAATAAATATTATGGAAGGACTTCTGTGATGAGCGACCACCCTAACAAAAACAATGAAGAAAAAACCTTATCCCCACCCCTATTCTACTGTACCCCTAAGCCTATTCTACTGCTTCATAATGATTGCTTGTTACAGAATTCCTCCCAATGCTATATTCAGTACCTCTAGAGAGCTAGAAAAAGCCGACAGTGTTGAACACCTGTGCTAGCTCTGTTTAAAGGAATTCAAGAGTTTAGGTCACGAACCGGGAACATAAAATTGGAGGAAATGAAGTGTAAGATTGTCAGGAAAATACCATTCATCATAGTGTTAGTGTAAAAAAAGCCCTGTGATCTTGTCATTATGTAGCCATGGGCTGGAAACCATGAAATGACCAAGGAGTGGAAGACCAAAAAAAATGGGTAAATTTTTACGTTCACTCCTGTACACTGATGCACTGCTTTGGGAGTCAACCTAGATCTACAGTATTTTTTGCTGTAGATCACACACATTATATATAACGCCACAAAAACTGTTGAAAATCAATTATAATCAAGAAAATTTCAAATTTTAACTGCAAAATATCAAACGAAGTGTATACAGACCCGGTAACCGGGAACAAAGTCACGAAGTATACAGACCCGGTAGAGGAACTCTTTTGTGATTTCGGAAAGTTTCAGCGCCCAGACCCGGTAGTGTGTGTGTGTGAGAGAGAGAGAGAGAGAGAGAGAGAGAGAGAGAGA